TCGTTTGGGGATGCCTGCAACACAATGGATTAGTGTTTACAATGCTCGTCGACCTATGAAACAAAGGTATGTTTTTGTTTCAAGCCTTGTGCTGCTCGCTATCTTGGTTAACTGAAATTGATGCAGGCTAAGTCGCAAAGTTCTACTATGGTTAGTGTGATTATGTGGGTGTTTGGGAAGTGGGTTTTTTTTGTTGTAGGATATTATTGGAGAAATTTTTTTGTGTGTTTGGGAAAATAGTTGGGTCTTGTTGTGGTTGGATGTGATGTTTGTGAGAGAAAAAGTGAAATGATTATGGGGTTTGGTGTGATATTTTGTTTGGATTTGTTTTTTTTTGGTTTTGTAACCAATTTGTCTTTTAGTGAAAAAAAATCAAAAAAAATCTTTCCCAACACCCGCCTATTTTTGTTTTGTTTTTTTATGTTTATTTATTTATTTTTTTCAAACCGTTTTTTGGCATTCTGGCTATCATATAATTTTTCATGTACCCTCTATTTTGGTGTGCTACTTTTATCTATTCCTCTTATTCTGTCTCCTGTTCTAGTCTCATCTGTTTTATCTGAATGTTTGGGAAAATAAGGATAATGTTGAAAATATGAGATTGCTTGTGTTGATATGTGGTTTTAGGTATCACTATAATGTGGCAGATGCAAGGCTGGTGCAGCACATCGAGAAAGGAAATGTAGATGGATTATATATCAGTAGCGTTGCTTCTTGTCAAAATTTGTGGGCGTTAATCATGGATGCAGGCACTGGTTTCACCGCGCAAGTTTATGAACTTTCACCCTGTTTTCTGCACAAGGTGCATCTCATATTATCATTTTATCAAAATCATAATTTACCTTGCAATTTATTTTCCTAGCAAAATATTTCTGCTGACAATTTTATTTTATTTTTTATTTTTATTTTATTTTGTCTTTTGTGTGTGTCTTGGGATATTTTTTAAGGAATGGATAATGGAGCAATGGGAAAAGAACTACTATATCAGTGCAATAGCAGGAGCTACTAATGGGAGCTCTTTAGTAGTAATGTCAAAGGGTTAGTCTAAGATGTTTGATTAATTGATTTTTATTAGTTTTAATGAAATTTCACTCAACTAATCTCTATTAATTGAATTCAGGTACACAGTATTTACAGCAGTCATACAAAGTTAGCGATTCATTTCCTTTCAAGTGGATAAACAAAAAGTGGAAGGAGGGTTTTTATGTTACTTCCATGGCCACCTCTGGAAACAGATGGGGAGTTGTTATGTCTCGTGGTGCAGGATTTTCAGATCAGGTTTTCTTGAATATTTCAATGTCCTAGTATTGATTTCTTATCTTTTTGACAAGCTATTTAACCTGTGCTAACTATGTTTATGATGTTTAGGTTGTTGAACTAGATTTTCTTTACCCTAGCGAGGGCATTCATAGGCGTTGGGATTTTGGATATCGTATTACTGCAACTGCCGCAACTTGGGACCAGGCTGCATTTGTTCTTAGCGTGCCGAGAAGAAAGCCAGCAGATGAAACGCAGGAGACACTCCGTACTTCTGCTTTTCCCAGCACACATGTCAAGGTGAATTATCTATCTATTCTATTATATAAAGCACACAACTCAGAACATCTTTTGAAGCTGTCACTTTGCTGATTTTTTATTTTCAAGAATTCCCATAAAATTGTCAACTGCTAAAATGGTTTTTAAATTCAACTCATTCAACTCATCTTCCTCATTCATCAAACTCGTGAAAAGTTTAGATGTAAAATGCAAATGCATCAGGAGGGTACCTCCGCTAGTTACATATATGGGCCTATTTGGTGTAGTTTTTTTGCAACCTAAAAAGCTAATAATGAGAAAGCACATGCTAAAAGCATGTCTTCCCTGTTTCTCAGTAATCAATATTTTTCAGCTTATTTAAGCTATTTATGTCTTATAAACTAATTAAGTAGAAGGCTCACCAAGCACTGGCATATATTTGAAAAAAGAAAAAAAGTAGCGATTAAGTGCCTCCATAAGCTGCACCAAATAAGGTCCTTATGCAGTAGTTAGTTTCTCTTTTCTTATGGATTCTTCAATCAAAAATCCATGGAGTCTAAAATTTTGTTTTGGTCGGTCATTGCAGGAGAAGTGGGCGAAAAATCTTTATATTGCATCGGTTTGCTATGGTCGTACAGTGTCGTAAGCGGCTGTGAAATCTTTTGCTAGGATGATGCTTGATGCCCATTAAGGTTTATTCCTCTCTCAAGCTTTCCTTGACAAGAAGCCATCTGGTTTGGGAGCACAATCGATCTGGGTTTTCTGAAGTGGCATATCCAGGCAAGAGAAATTTTGATCAATCAAAATTTTAATTTTAATGTGTAGTCATACTAGTATGGAACCTCTTGTTGTCTGTTGGTTGTATGGATAATCTTTCTCAGTGATGTCCATTAACAACCAGACCCTTCCAAAAGGATGATGGATGTTTTTACTTGTTGCAGTTAATTGCGTATAGTTTTTTTTTTTTTTTTTTTTTTTTTTTTTTTGGTTTTTTTTTTTTTTGTTTTTTTTTTTTTTTTTTTTTTTTTTTTTTTTTTTCCCCTTTTAATACAATAAGAATGAGAACTTGGTTTAAGACCTTATGCCCCATGTGAAGTAATTTGATCTATTTTTCTTGCTTCCTGTGGTTTGGGATTCATTACCTATGCTTCATTTCTCACATGGTATAGAATAGAATCTTGAGTGGTATATTTCATTACTTGTTAGATAGATTTTTTTAATGGAAATGGTCAAATTTGTGGGTTAAAATTGGGACTTAATTTTGTATGTTAGGTGTTTGTCAATTTAGAAATTGAATGGGATCTCTATTCACTTAATTAAAATATGTTTAGTGAATAATTTATAGTATACATAAGTAAAATCTTGAGTATATCTGTATGTATGTCAGTTTTTTTTGGGGGTTTTCCAAAATACCCCAAGACGTAGATAAATGCTTGGGATCTAAATTGTTTTATGATTGTTAATCCTTTTTAAAAAAATTTCACAGACGCGGATGGGCTGATTGTAGTTGGGCTTGGACAATTACGAGATGAGTGTTTTTTTTTTTTTTAAAAATTCATTATTTTTTTGTAATTATTTTAAAACTACCTAATTACAAGCTAACTATAATGGATTCAATTTCATAAAGGGCTTTGGTTGGTAGCTCAAAAAACAGTGGCCTTAATGGCTCTAAATTTCCATATAAGGCAAAAAAAAAAAAACAAGGCAAAAAAGAAAAAGAAAAAAAAACAAACTTATCCAAAAAAGGAAATTAGGGCCATTGGGGCCACTATTTTTAGGGCCACAATTCATTTTCCTTTCATAAATCAGTAGATTAAATTTTACCTAAAAATGTGTGTAATTTTTTCCAGTAATTTTTTCAAAATCTGATGGGTCTGCACTAGGAGTGGGAATTTGTCACGTAAATCATTAATGCCGCCGGAATCGTACACGGAATTAGAGGGTTAGGGGTAATTAGTTTTTCAACCGTGATCCATCTCCCATTTTTTCCTACCCCCTTTGACCCACTCTCTCTCTCTCATTGGTTACATTTTTTTCTGCAACTGCCGCAACTTGGGACCAGGTTTTTTTTTTTTTCCTGCTCCTCCAATCACCACCCGTCACGTGGCAAAAGGGGGGGTTGAGGGAGTGACCCCCAAAAGAGGGTCCCAAGCATTGTTCTTAGTTTTTATTCGAATCATGGATATTAAATGGGTCATGTTTGGATTGAACATGTGAAATCTGAATTGGACACGTTTTATTTGTGTAAAAATTTGTGTCAATATTGATTTACATGTAATTCAAATAAAACTTGAATTTAGTAACTATAACATCTTGAGTAATTCATTCTTATCTATTAAATTAAAACTTAAATCTCTAAATAATATATATATATCTAATGAAGTGTAATCCTAAATTAATTATAAGGTGATTGTAAGCCATAATTTTTTTCTTTAATTCTTCGTGGCATACAAGTTATAACTTGCAATGGTGAGTAGCGTTATTGACAATTACAATAAATTTTGTTAATTTATTAATATTTTTTGTGTTACAATTTTTATTCACTTTGTTTGATTTAGTTAGTTTATTAATATTTTTTTGCGTTATAGTTATTATTCACTCTGTTTGATTAGTTTTTAAAATTTGTTTTTTGGAATTTTTTTACAAACTATAAATTAGTTTGATAAAAATATAAATCAAAAAATTAATCACATCAAAAAGAAAAATTAATATAAAAATAGTGATAGTTTTTTATTTTTTTATTTTTTTTCAGCAAACTAGTTTTTATGTTTAATTAATTTTTTTCAAAAGAAAAACAGATTTTAAAAACCAAAACATTATATTTTTCAGATATTTTTTGCGCATCGTATTAAGTGTGTCGTGTTAGGGTTAACACAATTATAAATGGGTCAAGTCAATATTAAGATAATTGACACGTTTAATTCAATGAGTTGTGTTAGTGTTGGATTATTTTAAACACAAACCTGATATGACACGGCATGAAAACGATACAATACGGCACGATTTGTACCCTTAGTCTGCACTATTGAGCCACAATTATTTTGGAAAAATATGTGCTGAAAAATAGCCAACTGGACAACAATTTATCTCATCTTTCTTCTCTGTATTTTTAATTCACTCTGAAAAGCAATAAAATTTACTTTTAAGGTCTTATTTTTCTGTGGCAATGTTTTCCACCATTAGTAAAGTACTAGGGTTGTATTTAGATCAAGAATTTGTAGCGAAAAAGTTTTATTATTTTTTTTTTAAAAAAAAGAAGGAAAAAAATGAACGAATTTTTAGTCCATACACACACATCCTCAATGGGACACTGTAAAATAAAGTTTGATTTTTAGTTTGGAATTATCGATTTCTTTGAACTGTGTATTATAGTTTATGTTTAGATTGACTCAAGATTAGTAGGAATTTGCAAAATCTTATTAATTTTATAACTTAACCAATTAATTATGAACCCCTCATAAATCCCGATTTTGTTACATGCCCCTTTTTGGAATTCAATACTCTCCATGTGATGGATATCATGTGTACTAGTAGTTTGGATTTAAATTTTGTAAACCAATATTACAACAAATTAAAGTTTTAGATACAAAAATTTTGAGATAAAATTATTTTTTAGAAACGAAATATTTCAATGGTCAAAAGTGTCATTATTGTGTTTTCAATAATAAAATTAAATATTTAATAATAAATTACTATCCTTTTGGGATGAAAATTTTCATGGCAGTAGCATTATTAATGATATTTTTATAATTGTCAGTAAAGATTTTTTTTTTTTTTTTAAAAAACTTTTTGGAACAGTTTTTTCATTGAAATTGGTCTCATAATATTTTTTGTAACAAAAAATTTATTTTCTGGGCCGAAAAAAATGTAATCCCTAAAATCTTTAGATGCTATACAAACATATAATTGTATATTTTATTAGATTATTATCCAATCAAAAAGTCATATCTCCATCCAAGTGTTGCCTTCTGAATTCAAGAGCCAAAAAAGTCCAATCACTACAACATATAATCTCCTCCAGATAAACAAAAATAAAAAATAATAATAATGTAGATAGCTTTCTTTTGCATCCCAACATCATCATTTATTGACTAGGAAATTGGGATGGTTATTGTGCAGGGTGCAGCAGTCACTGTTACGTGGTTTATGGGATTTATTTTGGGATCTATTTTAATGATTAGAAGCATATTTACAAAAAAAATTAAATTGGTCGAATATTGATAAACGTTATCTAATTGCATTTATATTTAAAAAATAATAATGATAAATGTGATTTGAATTATGACGTTCAAATTGTGTCATCTTGGGCTTAGTGCCCGAATTTCTTAATATTAGCCCAAATTTTTTTTTTTTTTTGGTATCATGCCATGTTATTTTGGGTTCATGTCTAGTTTATATTATGTTTACGCGTTATATCACAATAAATATATATATACACACTTAGTTAAAAATAAATGTATGAAAAAAAATTATACGTAGTTAAATATAAATGTATAAAAACATTGAAGTTTTTTTTTCTCTCAGTAGTTAAATTTCATGTACTAATGTAGATCAAATTATTCATAAAAATATTTAATTTTAACTGAAATTCATTTATCTAATTTCAAACAATTAAACCCTATTTTTTATTTGTTTTTCTTTTTATTAAATTGAACCTTAAAAAGAAAAAGAAAAAGAAAGAACTCTTACTCAAAAAACTAGGAGAAGAAGTTCTTTTATCATGTTTTCTTGACATTTTTAACATTAAAAACATTGAACTCTTACTCAAAAAACAAGAAGGCGATGTTCTTTTATGAAGCTTTTGTGACCATTTCAACCTTAAAATATTGAAGGCAAGAGACGTACCCTTGAATTATAGGATAATACAAAGTCTCCCACCTTGACCAGATCACACTCTGAAAGGTTCTATTAGAATAGAACCCTCAAGCCAAGCAACCCCATTTTACATTAGCAAATCCTAATACTATTAGACAATGCTTGTTTGGGAAGATAATGTTGAAATTGGATTAATGATCTAATAAATATATAATTTTATATTTGGTTAAGAAAATTGAGATTTAGATCAATAGTTTATTTATATATGATGTTTCCGGGAGACTATTGAATTTCAATGGGAGATTAGGAAGATGTTAGACTAATTGATTAAATTACAAAGTTGATAAGCTTTTATCAAACATGGAATATGATACACAATTCAAAAAAATTAATAATTTTGTTTGCCAATTGGTAAGAGATTAATTACAAATATGATAGTATTTACTTCAAATTAGATAATTGCAGTCTAACTACACATATTTACAAGCTCAACTCAATACAATCCTTGTAATGAGGGAAAAGTAGTCAAATGTATCAAATTCCTCTCCATAGGATTTGTACTCGAAACCTCAAACCGCAGCAACATGATACTACATAACCACTAAGCTAAAAGGTCCTGATTAAATGAATTGATAATTTCATTCTAACAATTTTTTAATTAAATGCTAATATTATCTAATCCAACCCATTCAAAACCTAAGATTATGATAAGATAGACAATAAACAAAGAGCTAGCCTTCTAAGATTAAAACCAATATAATTTTTCAGAATATCACGTGACTATGTGTTTGTTCAATAAGAAGAGGACTATCTAATTCTGATGAGTAAGGTGTGTTTCATTAGACATGAGATTAAATTTATTCCCAAATCTCTCTCTATCTTTATATCTCAAAACATCCACATTCATTAAATGATGTTTTGATATTAAAGCAACTCGAGATTTTTTAATAATCTAATAGTTAGGGTTGTTTTGGCAACATGCATAAAAAGTTAAAAGTCAACGTTTAATTCGTTTTAGGTCAATCACCTCTCACATAAAATAGTAAAAGAGTTAAAAAAGTCAAAAATTAATTTTTAACTATCTTTTTAAAACAATCCTATTGAAACAGAAGAACAGAGAAATTTGAGGAAAGAGAAACCTTGACAGTTAGATAACGGTGCTGACCGAGT